TGACCTTGATCGCCAGGAGGCAGGGCAGCTGACAGATATCTCTGCCCCTTTTCTTTTTAAATGGCGAAAAGATATATATTTAGAATTAGCCATCTGGACTTGGTTTAGATGATCCAAATTTTGTTGGCAACATCCAAAGCACTGTCCTCAGAAGCCAGCTGAACCCACGCCCCCTCTCCATCAGGCCTGATCACATGCTGAGCCAGCCACACCAGTGTCACAGGGCTTCCTCACAGCCTGTTTGATCTGGGGCCAGTGGGCACCCATAGTGAACTTGTGCACACTGCTGTCTTCTACCTCCTTATGGCAAGCTCAGGGGTTGGGGAAACTTGATGATGGCAAAGTGGTCAAGTTCATTTCTCTGGGGGGCTCTTCTGAGGATGTCTGGACTCCAGAGCCACACTGTGTTTTTGGCCACTAGAAGGTGGGTGATGTACAGATCTCTGTTTCTGTGGCTGTGGATGCCTGTTAGCACTGCCTTCTTGGCCTTCGAAGCCTTTGCTTAGGCATCAGTTTCGGGAGGGGCAGGAGTTTCCCTCTTTGCCTTTGACACCATCTTGTGAAAAGCCCCTTTGTCCAATTCTGAAGATAAGTAGATAAGTTCGCTAGCCATAACCTGGGATGGACATGGTGATCAGGGTCTCAGATGCCTCAGGGATGAGGGTCTGAGCCACCACGTCTGGATGAGAAGTGGTGGGTGAGGGTGAAGGGCATCGGGAACAGGTAGTGGAGAGAGGAAGCCGAGTACTAGCACCCTCCACATCAGATGTGGCATTGAGAGTTGCAGCTCAGCACCCCCAATCTTCTTCTAAGTTTCCACAGGAAAACAAACCAATCAAACTAGGTCAGGCAGGCTTTCTAGGCCATAGCAAGGAGTCTGGATAAGTTTATTTTCATAGAGAAAATTCCCAGTCCTTTTCCCTTGCTCAGTTTCTAGAGAGTTGGCAGCCAGGCACATTACACTTCCTTGTCTTCTGGGCAGAGGGTAGAGGAAGTCTTTATGGAGAAATTCTACAGATACCGAACAATGAAACAGCCAGCCCCGTAATCCCGCAGTGAAGCCCACCAGCATACATGCCCATTCCATCACAAAGAACTTCCAGTCCACATTCAGTGCCTCATTCTTTAAAAACAGGCCAGGAAGGACATCCGAACTGAGAAAAGCCTCTACCGTAAAGAGTGGATTGACAGAGAAAAGAAACTAATGTAAGGAGTAAGAAGAAACTTCAAAAGTTGTAATAAAGATCATTGAGGAAATGAGGAAAAACAATGCATCCATAAGATAAGATAGAATGCTATGGCTCGGCGCCTGTGGCTCAAGCGGCTAAGGCGCCAGCCACATACACCTAAGGTGGCGGGTTCGAATCCAGCCC